CCTAATTTTAATACTCAAAAAGGAATTTCTAAAAAATTACAACCCCTCCGAAAAGGACCCTATCAAATAATTGCAAAACCCACAGATGTCACATATAAAATTATCGACTCAAACAAAAAAGAAATCGTTCAGCATCGAAACAACCTATTACCTTATTACCCAAAAGAATACGCACTCCGCGAATTAACCCAATTATATTCTTTCACAGGATTAAAAATTATTCAAAACGAACCACATCTGAAAAACACAGAACAAAATGATAACCCCACCGAAAATCAAAACACAAAACCAATCGCTACCAAAAACAATACACAAAACCATAAAGAATCTCCAAAACAAAGAAAAAATAGAAAAATGACAGAACAAATAATACCCCAAGAAGAAATAGACAAATCAGAACATAGAAAGACAACAAGACTCCGAAATCAACCACGTAAAAACTACAAAATGTTCATCCCCCAATCTAAAATATTAAAGAAAGTAGAATTTAAAAAGTAATTTTAAAATTTTATACTTCACAATCTTGAAACCTCCGTAACATTTTTCATTTCCATTTTTCAAAATAACATGCTCACAAGTACGCAATAATTCTAGTTCAAAATAGACCAATAGGATTCATCCAATCCGCCACTTTCTCTAACTCAAACTAAGATCAATTAGACGAATAATCTAGAACTCCAGGCACATCTCTAACTATAACTTTACAACCTCCAGGTCAAAAATAAGCAAACCACTCCAACTTGACAGCTAAAATAAATATCACCATAATACCGTACCCCTCCCTTATCTAATAACCCAAAGATCAACAATATTTCCCCAACTCAGACCACGAATACCCCCAAAACAAATTTGATAACTTAGCCTAAAGTCACAAAATGAAGATTTTAATTAGCCTAAAGTATAAAAATCTCACCATACCCCGGATCATTTGACAAACAAAAATAAAGAAAAAGACGACCTCCCAGTCACCATGAAAATTGCCCCCAACAATTTTTTACGAAACTCAACCCACTTGTCAAAAAACTAATAAATAACTCGACCACACTAGAAAATCGCCTCAAACAGCAAAAAATATTCGACAAAGAGATCATTTCTTAAATGCTTTTCTCTCAAACAGTCGCTCAAATATTTATCAATTTTAAACATTTTTTTTCAATACTTCAAGTCTTTATAATCTTTCTTTTTGATATCATCGAATCTTTTCTAATAATCATAATAATTTTTTGTAACATTTTTTTAATTTTCTACACAATAATTGAACTATTCCTCCAACTTTCCAAAACCCTTGAATATATCCACAGGTACGATTTTAACAACTTGTCTAAATGATACGAACAATTTTCAGTAGAACTGATATTTTTTTATTGTTTGTAATTTTCATAACATTTCTATCATCCCTCATTTTGACAATATGTAAATGTATAAAGAAAGCAATCATTACATTTGCCCTAGCAACAATTTTTCTAATTCTTTTTTTAGAAGAATATTATAATAAACATAAACCCTCTCACTAAAGTAACAATTTAAAAATCCATCAAAAATTGCTACCCAACAGTCACAGAATCAGTCTTCACCGACATCATCCCAAGATAATCCAACACCACCTTCAACTACTCAAAACCCTCAAACATCTACACGAATTTCTTTTCAAGACAATCCATACACCTTTGAAGAAAGGCACGCTCGTTTATCTGAACCACTAGAACCAGTTCAACGACAAGCATCCCTAAGTGAACCAACATATAATCTTTACCCAACACTACCACAAGAACTAAGTAGAATACGAAACCTTAGTCAAAACCAAAACACAGCAGAAATAAATAGACAAATTATACATCCTCGACGAAATAGAAATTTTCAAACTCCCCGAGTTCATTTTGATATACCTCAATCCCCAACACAAACCACTCCAGAAAACACCACTGGTATCACACCAGAAACTCCTACACTTTTTTCACAACGAAGCACTTCAAGTCTACCTTCAGACTACTTAGGTTCAACACCAACATCTGAACAGATACGTGAAAATCCCTTTAACCCCCCAAACCTAACATCACGACTGCCATATTGGACTACAAATTCATTCACACAAGGTGAACCAAATTTAGTCAATGACCCCATAGATATTTCTACGGATACAACAACATCCTCATCACTACCAGAAACATTATCACTACCATCAACACCATCAATAAGTCAATTTTCACCACTACCCTTTAACTTAAATTTTCCAAATAATCTCGACGCCAGATATCGAGAACAATCATCAATAAATATTCCTTTAAGATTAGATTGGAATTCATCCACAACACTAAATTTAACCACAAGTTATATAACTTAATCCAAAACACACCTTATGAGTTTGCAGTAGGCACTGAAGAACTAACCACTATTAAGGCACTTCAATTGCTTTGGCCACTACTTCAAACTAAAAATATCATCCGCATCTTAGCTAAACTACTAACAACTTCAGAACTAATTCACGATATCTTCCCCCACGGTTTTTTCCCCGACGACTAACAGGTAAGTATGAACTAAATGAATATTACTAACTAATTAAAATATTGAAAAACTCACCATTCCTTATTCATGTTTTCTTTAGATTTTTAGCCTTCATCTTCAATCATCTGAAAAATTCACAAAAGAAAAATAAAAAATAGCAAACTTCTTCAAAACTATTTAAAACCCTATTTAACTTTTGCACCAACAATTAAATAAATATAATACCAATGCAGTAAATTAATTTATAAAATTTTCCCCTAAAAGCAGTAAATCTACATATGATGAAAATTTGTATCTTAAAATTCCCCCATTACTAGCAGTAAATTTCCAAATTCTATGCAGTAAATTAATAAAATGCAATTGCAGTACTAACCTTTTGATATTTTCATTCATTCGCACAGAAATTCTATCCACACTCGCACAGCTCGCCCACGAAGAATTGTTTAAAATAATGAATTTCAGTTTCAAGTTTTCACACTCAACAACTCTAACAAATAATAACAAGTTTCAAACTTTCCTTTAACCCGGTTGGAAAGGAATCATATACTAAACAAAACTAACCAACGCAGCTTACTAAATACCACAAATCATAAAATAACAGCATGACTAAGAAAAGGAAACCAACGGTACCCAAACCGGATTAACCCAGTTTAAAACTGGATAATTTATTCTTTTGAAGACTATTACAAAGTCTTAGAAAGAAATAATAAAACACAAAAAAGTCAAAAGACAAACCCATACCACAAACAATTTGCTTTTTGGAAAAAGTACATAACCAACAAAACATAAGTAAAACCACAACAAACCCAACATAAAATGTTGTCACATAACAGGACCCCTCATAAAAACCGCATGAAATCATACTCCCACTCCTGGCCTAACCCACCAGGAAGGACGTCCTGAGCATGCTCTATAGCCGGCCTAACCCACCGTGCTACATCCACGCTTTGTGACCACACCTTTATTTTTAATAAGAGCTACTCAAGGGTGAGTAACTCTTCAAAATAACCGAACTAAAACAAAAAGCTTTTGTGAAAACAACTAACTAAAATCATAATTAAAAAATATTAAATTAATAAAAGTTTTATAAAATGTAAAATCACATGATGCAATATATAGATCAGAATACAACACCAAGGACGAACATCAAAAGACAAGACGACCTCACTACACTCGAGAGAGAATGACCAACTATAATCGATATGACGCTCACAATCACAACTCAAAGGATTTAGAGTACGACTTGACCTCGCAGAAAAGGACTTCATTGAACTAGACCAATGACCACCTCGATGTTCAAGTATACGTACAGATCCGAGCAACCAGGCATCCCCTCCACGCACAATCTCCACGCCATTCCCGAGCTAGATCAAACACAAAAGAAGTTCTCTCCGAAGAACAGAAAAACCTGACATAGCCAACCATTCTGAAACCAGAATTGATGCTGTTGCAGAGACTCAGTCGTTGTCACAAGAAGAACACAACGTCTTGTGTCCTCAATTCCAGATCCCTGGAACTTCCTTAACAAAAAGGAAACAAAAGAAAAATGATGTTCGCCAAATACCAACGTCCATCATCCATCCTTGAACTACAAAAGAACTGTTCTAAAAAACTCTGTAAAACCCGGATGGGTGGAACCTGATCTAAACTATATTTTATGATTGGATAAATTAAATGTTTTACCAATGTAAAGTATTTAATATTAACCAATCATGATCCATCTAACTAACAACCCACTTATTTGTAAGTGCTGAAGTTACTTGTAATTTCAGCACCAGAGAGATTTGAATTTAACTTAGAAATTAGTTGGACTCTCCCGAGCACTTCAGCAGCCGCAATAAACCAGTATACCCTAGATCTATTGAGCCTAGCAGAGACTAGTTAAACAACCTGAGACTAGATAGTATAAGAGTAAGATTAGGATCGGTATTAGACTAAGAAGTTGCACGAATCTATCCGGCCGAAAATAAGATAGCGTGACGAGCAGACGGTGTACCCTATCCGAAATTACTCTATGAGTTACACTCCAGTCCTAACTCAACACTTCAAAAAACCCTGAATTATTGCATACGTTGATTCAACTGGAGTTTAGCGTTACTTTGGTTTAAAACTCATTGGGCGAACCCCTAACCTCTGGGACAATAAAACTAAAAAATTGCTTAATCGTAACAACAATTTAATTTTTTGGTGCTATTAATAATTTGAGTTATTGGTTGCTACTCTGTTGTGGGCTATTTGGTGGCTACTTCAGTGGATGTAGAGACACCTCGTTTTTCCCATCTTCTGACTGTGTATTTGAGAAACACACAAACAGCATGTGGTAGGAAAACAGTCAAAAAAAAATATATATATATATATATATATATATATGTGTGTGTGTGTGTGTGTGTGTGTGTGTGTGTGTGTGTGTGTGTGTGTGTGTGTGTGTGTGTGTGTGTGTGTTGGGTGTCGTTTATGTTGATGTTAATGTGTTAATGTGTTGATGTGTTGATGTGTAGGGACTGCGACTAGTATCCAGCCGATCACAGTGATAGTGCCGGTGCAGGACGAGATGCAGACGGCGGTGAATGCGAATGCGTACTCCATGTGCAGACAGCTGTCCTACGCCACCACCCTCCTGTTCGCCCTCCTCTACGACACGTTCGGCTGGAACTTCATGTGCTGCCTCACAATACTCCTCTTCCTCCTCGCCGGCTGGGTCACGTGGCTGGTGGAGAAAGAGGGCGCCGACAAACTCCTCCTAGTCGCCACAAACCCCACCTCCTTCAAGCACTCCTTCCACATCCTACCCAAGTTCGTCTGGGTCATCCTGCTCGCCTTCTCCGCCTCCGGATTCACAGAGGGCATCAACAACTCCATGTCTGTGCTGGTGCTGAAGGACATCTGGGAGGCGGAGAGTGTGGAGGCGTTCCTGAGGAGTATGCTGAGTCCCCTGATAGCAGTCGTCATCTACCCCTTCATCGCCTGTTTCCTCACTTACAGGAAACAGTTCCTGCTGGCCATGTTCCTCCTCGGCACCTTCATCTCCCTCTATCCGCTGATGCCCAACGCACTCCTAGGATTCCTCATGCTCATCTTCTGGAACATAGGCAAGACATGCATGCACTCCTCCGTCTACTCCGTCATCCGGGAGGCCACTGACGACGGCTCGATCATAGCCAGATTGGTGGCCCTGGAACAGTGGACATGCACGCTCTTCTATGGCTTCGCGGGGGCCATAGGGGGACCACTGTTCGGGGTGGGCTACTGGGTCCCCTTCGTGTTTGCTGGAATCATCCAGATCATGCTCCTAGTGGCCAGTTTCATGGCCTTCGTCTACCACGACTCCAGCAGTCCAGAGTCCTTCTGGTTCAGTGCCAGAAATGCCCTCAACAAACCCATTCCCAAATCAGAGAGCCAGTCCTACCTGGTCTTGGAATGACCACCTAGAACTTCACTGGCGAAACAAATCACAAGCAGGCCCACACAATCATCGCTCTGAAAGAAATTCAACTGGCATTTAGTTCGAATACGAAATATTTAAATCACTTGCGATTTACAAATGACTATTTCCTAACATAGACTAAGGATTTCAGAAAATTGTGGCAGCGTTAAGCCCAGGTTTAATATCTTAACCATTTAATTTTAAAAACCTGACGATTTCAATGTTTTCAGACCACCTCTCAAGAATTTGGCGCTCCGACTTTTCAAAAATACTCACTTTGATACAATTACATTTTTTTACCAACCAATCGGAAAAGACTTTTGCAAATGTGGTTGTTACAAGGACTTTGCGTACCAATTGCGGTTTTTGTTTCCTCGAACACATAAGTCTCAGATATATTACATTAATCTGCTGTTCTTGGGAAAGATACTCAGAGCTTTCAAATTGAGTGATTCAGATTTCTGAGTTTGTTTGTGAATCGCAAGTAAGGCTCAGCCTCTGTGATTATAGTTTTAAATCAAACTCCCTTATTCGATATAACCGCCACTCCTTATGTCTAGCCCCCCCCCCCATCACCCTTGAAAGAGGGAGTGACGGGACTGTTTAGCCACACTGACTGGCTCAGTGTCAATCATTAATTGAGCCAATAGCTCTTGCAAAAGAGATGACGAAGAAACTGAAGACGCTTTCTGTTCGTGGTCCCAATCAATGTTGTATATAGCATTCATTCATTCGTTGATTCATTCATTAATACTGCCGCCATGTAGCCATATGTGTCATGTCTCTAATCCATACGCCCACTGCAAACAATTTCTAATTAATCTAACCTTTCCTGACGCATTTTTTCAAAACTACTCTTAAGCACGTCACATTTTTTTCCATCATTCTGAGCATTTCTAAACAAAGTAAGTCGTAAAGGGGCGCAGATTAAGCTTTAATTTAATGAGCCGAATCAATCGACTGTTCACATATGTCAGTTAGTTAGTTGTCTTGTCTTGTCTTCGGACATTTCTGTATTCCATACATGCCCAGGCGGCCATCAGTGCCCCATGCCTCTATTAAGCCCACTTATTCCACTTAGTGTACATGTGGATGTGAGGTTAGAGTGGTGTGAGGTGGTAGGGGGATTAATTGGTGACAGGTTGCAGAGTGAGATGAAACACTATCCCCCCTCTCCCTCTGTCTCCCTCTCTCCGCGGACTCAATTAGGCGTGTGATCATTTCACTCCCGCACCATTCGCCCCTTCGCTCTCCCCTCTCTCTCCTTTCTCTGTTCCCCAGGAGAGAGAGAGAGAGAGAGAGAGAGAGAGAGAGGATAATCTGCGGACCCATTTCAGATACAGTTTCATTGCACCCACTTAATCCACATCACAGCCCTAATTGCTCCCTTCACCACACAACACCTCAGCACAAAGCAGCACACCATACTAACTAAATCTAACACCTCCTATACCGAAGAGAGGAGATAGCAAGACACCCTCGTTCGGCCAACTGAGCTGAAACCCAACTACTAACTTACTATCCAAGTTCACAGCTCAGACACCATCTTCTTCATCATCATCATATACAGTTACACTCACTCCACTAACTGGACAGGGGGATCAAGTTGGACAGTAAATCCAAGTACCCATTCAACAACCCCCCCCCCCCCTCCCGTTTATCACTCATTCAATCCAGCTACGTATAATCGCACAATTGCATCTATCACAATTGCGGCCCAATCAACTCCTCTGTCCCCTTCCTCCTCTCTTTCTCTCCCTTCTTCCCTTCTCTTGGCTGTTTTGATGTTGCCTCAGTTATGCAGATGAGTGAACAAGTTTGCTTCATTACCATTGCACTGCACACCCCTCAATCAATCCACCCCACCCGACATGAATAAGGACAAGTAAAATTAAGAACAGCTATAGGCAGGCTTCATTCTAGCATGATGCTGTATTATAGAGGGGGGAGAAAGAGTGTGTGTCTGTGTGTGTGTGTGTGTGAGTGAGAGAGATAGAGGTAGTGCAATTAGGCGTGATTGATTAAATGACTGCTCTGGCTGGTGCAGTAGGGCAGTACTAGTGCGACTAGTGCCTACATACTCTCTGTTAGAAGCAGAGAAGGAGGGGGTTTATTTAACACAAGGTACACTCACTAGATCCACCCCCCACCCCCCCCCCCCCTCTCTCTCTCTCTCTCTCTCCCTGCGATGAGACATGTCACCAACATGCATGCTTCACATACCAAATCACATCACATCACATCACATCACATCACATCACATCACATCACCGCCAGTGATCTCAATTGATGATGACATGGAAAAGGAGACAGGGGATGGAAGGAGGACTCTAAATGCCATCCCACCACACACACACACACACACACACACACAAACACACACACACACACACACACACACACACTACAACACAACACAGCATAACATACCAAGATAGAGGGAAGAGAAGACTAGTGTGTGTAGCTAACAGGTAGAAGAGAGGAGGAGAGACAAAAGGGAGCAGGGTGGGTGGAAGCTAGGTCAAAATCAAACTCAAAAGCAAAATCACAAACACACACACACACATTGTTCATTCAACACAATTCACATGTCAATACCAATATAGCACTATCTCTTTCTCTTTCCTTTCTCTCCTCTGTTATCCTTTCTCTCTTTAAATGTGACATTCACCCTCCCCTCCCCTCCCCTCCCCTCTCCTTCCCGCCTGGAAGAGGAGTCTGATCAAAAGGAGCCGCACTGCTTGCCCTTTGTTCTCCTCTCTGTCTTTTCCTCTTTGCCACCACCCACCAAAGCTACAATCACAGCTTGATTCGCATTGTCACCCCCCACCCATTGCCGCAATTGTTGCCTACAGGTTGTGTGGGGTGCATTACTGTCCTCATTGCAACAATCTAAACCGCCTTTTGTCCCCTTTTCCCTTTCTCTCTCTCTCTCTCTCTCTCTCTCTCTCTCTCTCATCTTCACACACATGCGATCTTGCGCCTAATAAAAAACGAAAAAAGTTTTCGAGGTGCCTCTATGGAATTTAAACAAGAAAGTAAAATTATTTATGTTTGACGGAAAGCTAAAAAACAATGAAGGGGAATCCAATTTTCAAAATTTCTTCCTATTCATTTTGTAAAACAAAATAGTGGACAGAAAACAGCCAAAAATACTTAAGTTTAACTTCTAGACAATTTGATACAATGTGTCTGAAAACAAGGATAGCCGGTTACTATGCAGGTAGCACAGAATGTTCCGACAAAAGTTTTTAAAAAATGCAATAAAACTTTTGCAAATTATTGTCCTTTTTTTTCGGCGTGGTGTGATAAAAGGAGCTGAAAAAAAAACTGGAGATTAGGTATATTCGACAGTCATACTATTATCTCCAATTTTTTTTCAGTTGCTGGGGTGCTACTTGATGGGCTGCACAGCCCGTATAGATACTCCTGATGCATTATACATATAATTTCTTTATTATTGTGTATAATTGTATCGAATTCAAATTCAATTCAATAGTGAAATCAGTAAACTGAAAAACAGTTTTTGAAGAAAAATTACTAGAAAAACGAAAAAAAGTCAAAAAAAAAATTCGATTCCAAAAAAGGCGCTAATATACTCAAAGTAAACTAACGTTATTCAAGTGAAACTAAGTTTTTACGTTTCAAATTAGGCTATTCTAAGCATTTAATCAATTAAAATAAGACTGCTCGCTCGAAATAAGTCAAAGTTGAAATTTCAAACCGGTTTCTCTCGACACTGTGAAGACTTTTTTGAAAACACGACTGAAAGGGCTTTGATATGATATATCACTCAACCCAGTCCGATGATTATTTGTCGTAGCTGATTTTGCGTGGAAAAAAAAGAACAAAGAAAAGAACTAAAACACCCGAATACAAAGTTACTCCCCATTTTCAATAGTTGGAACAATAAATAATTTGTTCCATTATGTTCGTGGATATGTAGAAAAAATTCGGCATCTAATTGTCGAATCAAAAAAGAGCTTCATTCTAATTGTGTTTTTTAAGACTGTGTTTTGTGTTTTTTAAGACTGGTCGGAAAATTTTTTGCTACTTGCACAAAAAATAACTATCCTTGTTTAGGTAATAAAAATTATAGTTTCTACTGGCTAAGAATAAGAATAATCAATTGCTCTCAGGCCTAAAATAAAATTCAATTTTTTTTTTTTTGTAATTTCAGTCTCTGTGCTCCGTTTTTAAATTGGTGTCTCTTTATCTGCGAGAAGTAATGAAAGGATCTGAACGAAACAAAAACTTAGGCATAGCTGACAGTCACTATAAAAAAAGCAAAATGGACAACAGAAAAATGACAACAAAAACAATCGTTTGAAAATTTTTTTTAAGTAATCAAATTTTTTTCAGAGTTTTTTGTTTAAATTTTTGATTCCCAAAATGGCGCTAAAAACACAAAAACTAATTCTTCTGGAGTAAAACTAATTTTTCACGGTTTAAATTAAGCACAAATAAGCTGTTGTAAACCTGCTCGAATTTAAACTAAAAATCAAGAATTTTAAACCTGTTTTTCTCGATAAGGGGAGAACTGATTGATTTTTTTGTTGTTAAAATCACGAGTAATAGGGCTTTGGCATGATATATCTTTCGACCCATTCCGATGATAATTTGTAGTACCTGATTTTGCGTGGAAACAAAACAAACACCCAAATAGTTCCCCATTTCAATGTTCGAACAAAAAGCAAAAATCCTACTTCTTAGTTCAGTTTCTTAAAAGGTCTTAGTAGAAATTTGAGCTCCACTAAGACCCGGTTATTCAGTGTACTAAAATAAAAGTAGTCATGGCACCCGCTCCAACGTCTGATTAGAATAAAATTGGTTAAGACTTTTATCGGTCAGCCTTTTTAGGGAATAGAAGTGGGCTGTTGATCGATGCTGTTTCTGAAAATGAAGTACATGCTTAAAAGGCACAAGGAAGGCTATTTGTAATTCCATGTTGGCTGCTGGCTTTGTGGATGATAGCAGTGCTAATCTGGCAATCTTCTGTCTAATCTGAACAAGCTGGCTGAGCATTCTTATCTCATCTGCCTTTTATGATCTCAATTCTGTGCCATTTGTCTTGTTGCAGACGCCATAAAGAGAAGCAGGAGAACGAAGAGAAGACATTAGATATGCACTTATAGCCAGTGCTTGTGGTGATACTGGATGTGCTGTGCACTATATAGTTGTAGCCTAGGTTGGATTGGATTCTGGATTGCATTCCATTCTT